GGTAGAAATGGTAGTGAGGAGAGTGCTTACGTTTCCCCGTGACCCGACACACACAGTGCCCGGTTCTTCTCCCAGAACCACCGACAGACGGCCATGAGACAATATTTAAACCACATTTCCATCATTTCCTTCATTTTCTGTATTATTCTTTCTCTTCTGTTCTTGGCAAACAGTCTAAAAGCTTTAAATCTGCTGGTTTTTAGAATAAAATAAAGCAATGCAGCAGATTTCTGTCTCCAGATTAAAATGTGCCAACACGTAGCACGGTTTAACTTCCTGCTTTGGGTTTGGAAACACTAGAAGTCCTTTCTACAGAGAGCAAGGCTCTCGGCTCTTCGGGGGCCAAAGTGCCGTCGGTCTGTGGTTCTGGTTTGGCCCTCACAGATTGACTTCAGTTATTAAGGCTCGACGGGCAAGAGGTAAAACAACAAGTGCCCGGAACACACACTCGTAAAAATCTTAAATTCTGATCATGTTTGTCTCAAAACATACACACACACACACACACACACACACACACACACACACACTCAGAAAAGCTCCCCTAATTCCCTGCGTGAGAGTTTTTACTTGTAATCTCAAACTATTTGTGTCGTCTTGTCTTTTTCACAGCCTCACAACACAACAGAGGGGTTTTAAAGGATGCCATGTTGTTAAGAGAGACACACCTGGCGGAGGAGGACGGAGGAAAAGAAGACTGAAGGCCATATTTGATAAAACGACGCAAACAAAGCAAATACTGTAATCGAAGAGCGATCGGGAAGGTGTGTGCGAGGGGGGGGGGCACGCAAACAACAATAGTTTGATTGATACAATTAGAACAAAAGTAATCTTTATAAAGTTCACAGTCTTGTAGCTCCCCGGACCAGGGGGAAGGGGGGGGGGGGGGGTCAGCCTCAGACAGGAAATATCTGTTTGACGTCACTTCAGCTGCTGAGAGAAAGGCTCACCACACACACACACACACACACACACACACACACACACGGGGAGCCTTCACCTTCAAGAAACGTCTCCAAAAGTTTTGCTTTGTTTTAGATCCTTTTTTATAAAACAGGAACTTAAGAGTGCTCGCTGGTGGACTGATGGATGGAGAGAACGTCCAACTGAGCACCAGCATTTTTATTTTGGGCTCAGGAGCTCTGGGTCGAGGATTAGAGATGGGAACTGAATTTTAATACTTTTGTTTGGTTTTGGTACCAACCGAAATGTGTCCACAGCACGACCGCGTATCAAACCTTTCGTTGTCTTATTTAACTATTCCTTGATCAGATGGCTCCCGATAGACCGTGTATAGAGGGTTAGGTTTAGATCATGTTGCCACAGTTCCAAGTGAGAAGGGTCGGAGAGAAAGGCAAAGGTCTTGTTCCTGGAGAAGGTTCTTGTGGAGAGATGGGTCCAACAAATCTGTTGGATGGACGGTGATGATGATGATGATGATGTGTTGAAACACACACGGTAAAAATCCCCAAACCTCTACTGCGCACACACACACGCACACACACACAAACACACACATTCCTGATATTCCTGCAGTTTCAAGATGAAGAAGAAGGAGGATGATGAAGGAGGTACGGTGTCCTTTTATATCTGCTGCAGGAGGTGAGGCTATGTGGGGGGGGGGGGGACACTGGTACAAGATGTGCTGTGAGGGATTTGAAGGGGTCAGAGGTTGGCTTGGGAGCGGAGGTTGTTGGGTGAGAGTTCACATCATGACGTGGCGGCGGCGGTGCAGGGAGAGGTGGTCGGACCGGGAGAAGGAGCGGTCGCACTCAGTGCAGCGGAAAGGTTTGATTCCCGTGTGCTTGCGGAAATGCCGGGTGAGCTCGTCGGAGCGGGCGAAGCGCCAGGTGCAGCCCTCCCAGGTGCAGTGGTAGGGTTTCTCTCCTGGAGGAAGCAGGAGACAATGAGACGAGTTAAGGGGAGAGGAAGGGAGGGAGGAAGGGAGGGAGGAGGAACGTTAGGATGCTGGTGGAAACAAAAATGCACGAGTGAAATCTTAACGGAATTTTACAAAACTTTCTGGGTTTATTTATTTTTGACTTTTCCAGGTTTTGCATCACAATACAAACCTTGACTGGATGTTTTCAGGAAAGAAAAATAATACAATGAAATTTGCAAACTGTTAGGTGTTAAATATTTGTAAAACTACTCTACCAGTGGATCCCTTCACTCTCACGTGATGGTTGGTCAGTCAGTAATGAGGGTGAGCTGCTCCTTTAAACCTGTTTTAAACGTGTCTTCCTGTGCCGTCGGTCTCACCTGTGTGTATCCTCCGGTGGGCTTTGAGGTGGGAACTCTTGGTGTAAACCTTTTTACAGCCTTCGTAGTCACACATGTGGATCCGCCTCCTCTTGATGTCTGGAGAATCTGGATCGACGGGCTCCAGGTCCATGACCGACCTGAAGGAGGCAAAAGGGAACAGGAGTGAAGCCGAGAACATGTGAAGACAGAAAGCATCTCTGTGAGCTTTTGGGACAATCACACTTTAATACTTTCATAGCAGTGCAGAAAATAGTTTGAGATGTTTAATTACTAACAACTACATTCAGAAGTTTAGTTTAGTTTAGATAAATGTCTCTTCCGTATATTTACGTTGGTCACAATTAGCTACAAACCAAACTGAAGTGGTCTTTATCAAAAAGGTTTATTCTTATTATGTGTTTATCTGCAAATATTTTCTAATCAGACTTAGTTAAGTCATTTTTTCTTTGCACTTCTTTCCTCCCAGAGTTCATCTTTGTGTCATTGTTTCCGTATTATGTAAATATGCTTTGATTCAATACAATGTCAACCTGTAGTTCAGCATTCATACATTGAAGCAGGTGTAACCGGTCACATGACTGCACTGTGTCTCATCGTTGCACCACAGAACAAACACCACTCCCGTCAGGTGTATTTGAAAGTGACGTTAGGGGGCCACTGGGGGGCGTCAGAGTTACGTTCAACACAACAGCTTCCACTTCAGCATTTCTCTCTCTCTCTTTAATTCCTTCATCTCTCACCCGTTTTTTATTCCCTTCTTTCCTCAAAGCAACAAAGTGAGAAAATCTGAACTAAATCCACCCATTCGTCTCTCTTCATGTCATTCTTCTCTCTCTCTCTCTCTCTCTCTCTCTCTCTCTCTCTCTCTCTCTCT